TACGTACTAGGAACTGAAAACCGGTATAAGTCTGGAGCTCGCTTCAGCCCTTGAAAAGTCTTGTTATGTATGTCGTAAATCAAATTTTTCAGGGACGTTACATCAAAAACGTAATTTTGGTCATCAAAGGGCGTAGAAATATAAGTCTGTCCCTTCGCTCCAGACAATAATATATCTATTCTTTTCGTCTTCTAATTATATTAACAAGTTATTTTCAAAAACTTGAGTAACGTGACTCACTCTAACCATTGAGATACGTGATCGCAAGTTAAATGTGCAACAGTTATCACGTGACTGCACCTTGATTCTACTTTAACTGGTATGTACGAACTGCGCCATCGAAATATTTAACAAATATTTTATTAGGTCGCGTGTTGTACTTGCAATCAAAGCCTCTCTCTTTTTTTTCTATCGGATTTAAAAAAAAAAAATGCCGAACACTAAAAATTATGACGATATGACATCTGAAGAACAAAGGGAACACGACAGAATTGCAAGAGAAAAGGAGGAAGCTGAACAAGCAGGTAGTTGAGCCTTTTTATTTGGAATTTACTTCTTCAGAAATTTGTGAAATGTTAATTAAAATAAAATATAGCTTTGCCTTACAGGTGGAAACAAACTTTACAAGACGTTGACGTTACAGTTCCTGTACCGAAGGGAACACGTGCACGAGATCTAATAGTTACGATAAAAAAAAAACATTTGACAGCGGGATTGAAAAATAATCCACCTATTATTGAGGTAATTCATTAGCATATATGATATGAAGAATTATGGTAACAAATTTGATTATATTTGAATTATTTGTATTATTCGTTTAGGGTGAATTATGTAAAGAAATTAAAGTAGAAGATTGTACTTGGACACTGGGTAATGTGATTTTATAATTTAATCCATTTATTCATTTTGGATCGTAAGCCGCTTATGAGTAAATTGTTGTTCAATAGAGGATCAGAAAGAAATTTATATTCATTTGGAAAAGGTTAATGGCGCGGAATGGTGGGAGAATGTTATTAAAACTCATCCTCCTATCGATACAACAAAAATTCAACCTGAAAATTCAAAATTAAGTGACTTAGATGGTGAAACTCGTGCAATGGTTGAAAAAATGATGGTGATTATATTTTATTTATTGTTAATGTTTATTATTTTATTATTTAACTAATTCATGGTTCACTTTTTTAATTTTTTTTTTTTTTTAATTTTAGTTTGATCAACGTCAAAAACAGATGGGTAAAAAGACATCTGATGAATTGCAAAAAGAAGAAATTTTGAAGAAATTTCAAGCACAACATCCTGAACTTGATTTTTCAAATGCAAAAATTTCTTAAGAAAATTAAAATACTTATAAACAAAATTTTTTGCATCATTTAATTAGCTTATCAAATTTAAGCTTATTTTTAAAACTAGTTATACAATTTTTGATTGTACAAAGTGATATTTTAAATTGTAAAAGTGATGAATTAATAGTAATTATAAATAAATGCTAAGATTTTTGGGTTTATAATAATTAAAAAATTTGCAACTCTTGATATAACGTATCATTTGGGCAATTAACCTCAATATTGTGAGTTTATTAGTAAATCCATTATATCAAGCAGAATTTATTATGGTGTGATTTCACTTTGATCCATTATACCAAGATTTACTTAGTCTCTGTTATATCGAGAGTTCGTTACATCAAGAGTCACTATATATAATATTTAAAGTGTTGATTATATTTATATTAATATTTGTAATAATTAATAAAGAGAATAGTGAATCAGTATTATATAAATTTCAACTTTGTTCATTATTATTTTTTTTTTACTTGTCTATTGCACTAATACCATCTAGCCCTCCGAATTTATTTAATAGATAAATTTTAAAATCATAAACGATCAAAACTATGAATGAATTGGATGTTTACATCTAACATTATATATTAGCAACTGTTCAAAAGATTTGTAAATAAAAATAAGATTATCATCTTGTATATGCTAATGTGCAACACTAGACATATTCACATACCTTAAATTACATTACCGTTATCAATGTTCCGTATATTTAATTTTTATTCAATCAAACTAATTTGGTGTCAATCGTTTGTGATAATATATGCTGATTGAAACACTTTTTATTTTAACTGCATTTCTACAAATCAAATAATATAGTATGTAGGATATACCAATGTTAAATAATTAAAACAGAAATTTAAGCTT